ATCGGAATTCAAAATGAGTCAAGGAAATCAAAAGGCATTAAAATACATAACCGAACTAATTTATGGCCGAACCGACCTTTCAATTCTCCAAAAAAAACATGTGGAAAAATAACCGTTTTTTCAAATTTGTTATGATTGTCAGCCACTATTCCTTCAATCAGGTGATAGATGATGTTTTAAAGCAAAATTAAATACAGCACACCAGATAATATTTTTTCTCTTGAAATATACGCCCTACAACAATATGCTTTTTTAATTCCTTCCCACTTATTCCGAAGATTTGATTTATTTTCCTAGTTAGGGTTGGTTTAACCGTAACTCGAAAAATATATGGATGAATATCCGACCAATATGGCAAAATTCGTTTGCTGATATTTTCTTTACAAAAATATGCCCTTCAGAACATATTTTTCAAATATTTTAGTTGCTTATTTCACCTAAAAAATGTTATTAACAAAACAGATTTCCTCACGTCTTTTATTACAGATTGATAATGAGTGCTCCTTTTTCTCAATTTCTTCTTATTGTGTTTGTGTCAAGGCAGAAAAACATTTTTTAGACGAAATAGACAACAAAGGACTTCTGAAAACATGTATCCGCTTCAATCATAAACAACTTATCTACTGAAACAGGTGTTTGTTGTGAATCGCAACTGTAATAATTGGGATGCAGCTTCACAATATTTCACCCTTCTGTTTGAAATTTACTCACTCATTGAAAAATACCTCTGGATACAAGATTGGAATTTGGTTCTCCTCTGCCACATATTTTGCTTAGCTATTTTTTTCTAAATTTAAAGCACCTGTAAATGTATTTCTAAAAGTTAGCTGAAGCTTAAAAAATATTCTAAACCTTTCCAAATCTGTACAGCCTAGATTAACCTGCTTACTGTATTTCAAAAATCCCATTCCAAAACATGCTTTGACAGTTTTCCTTTGTTGAATAAAATTAGCAATGAGAATCATTTATTTTATAATTGAATTAATGCACACACCCAATATAATACCATAATGAGCTAAATATAAAAGGAAACTGAAATGCCATAAAAGCATGAACGACAGTAATTGATTCCGTAGTCCAGTCTCATGTATGATTCGACACGTTTATCATTTTATTAATAATAAACTAAGACATTTTTGTAAAATTTTCCAGCCCGGACTCCACACGGACATTTCACAAAATAATCCATCAAACATTTAAAGTAACCAGCACTTTGTACTGTAATGCTTTAAATTAAAACACAAATTTATTTACAATTAGCTGTGTCTGCACAAACAAATCATCAAGTCGCTTAGCTTTACTGATGTAATTGACGATAAAGGACTATAAATCAGAATAGTCAAGTAATATCAATAAATCCAGCACATGAATCAACAGCATTATTACATGCATTGTGGCATAAAAATTTAAAAATTTGTCATCCGAGAATAGGGCGTGTAGTGAATTTTAGATCGCATTTAAAGATACTGTACATAATGCCCTCTAATTAGCGTGTCAGCATTGTGCATTGACTGAACAATGTGAAGATGTTTCTAATTTATCTTTTTGCCGATTGTTAGTTAATGGCTCAACTATGGCATATTAACCTTCTATAAGTGCGCAACAATTAGGATTCATTGGCGAATCAATGGAAATTTTACCGGAATAAGGTAATCGGGACGTGTTTTTCACATGAGAATATCATCTGGAAGATTATACAGTCTAGTCTTCAATTTTCTCTGAAGCAAATACTGAAAATCTTTTGCTGAACTTAAATCTTTCATAGTTTTACTGTTTAGAAGACAAGAGGGGAACATTTAATGTAAACGGCCAAAGGCTGTATTATTAATGCAATTCCTAATGCATGTGCTGCTTTAATGGTTTACTGTGTATGTTCCAAGTAATAAAGTAATCTAATGGCAGCATGCAGGCCCACCTTAATTCTATTCATGGAGTTGTTATATGTCCTGCAATTTCCACGCCATTTTCGTTTTTGTGATCTCGTTACGAAATGATACTGAGAATAAAACTCACTTTTTACAGCTAATATTTGTCTAGAGGAAGCATTCGAAAATTATATACGTAATTATAGATAATCGAAGGCCCCGCCAAAAAAAATATTTAAGGGATGGTTTTCTTTATTTTGCATTTCGGGTATGAAATTTCTGTTCCGTAGATTTCTATAGTTAGAGAATCATCAGATCAAGTTTTTATACATTGGCATTATATAACTGTATTGTGGGTATATTTCTCTACTCCTTCGGTTGTTTGATTCTCTATAAGAATATTACATCGACTTGGGTTTCCATGGATCAGCATGAACTTGGTGTTTTTAGTGTTTAAGGTAAGTTTATGTTATTTGGTAGCTCTGAAGAATGAGCCGAAAATAATCCTCCAAGATGTTGCTGTAAAGATTGCATCATCTGTATATATGATGTTGCTTTTGCGCCTCTGCTTTCGTTTTCTAAAGTATCTTTTTTGCTTCCCTCCGAATATGTATTATCGGACATGTTCCTGAAACTTAGTCGTTTTAGAGTCGAAACTTAGTCGTTTAGTTATTCAGTATCGTAAACCACATTAAACATGTTGACCAGAATATCAATATGTTCCACTTCGGTAAACTTTATAATTTAAATGGGAGTCTCGTTCGACCTAACTTGAAAGCTTTGAGGGTCTCAGGCGTTTAATTCATTAGAAACATTTTTCAAATAGATCTTCATTACCATTTGTGCGAGTCAATTAATTCTTATTACATCGAGACTCTTGTGATTACTTTGTGAACACTGTTTTTTTCTTATGTTTCTCTATTTTTTCCTGTAATATTCTTCTTGTGGTTTTCAAACACTGGCTCGCGCTTGTTTTCTATTTTTGCATCCGATTGTTCTTTAAGGATTCATCTGCATGGCTTTAGTATTGCTTATGCTGTTTTTATATGGTTTTATGATATGACTGATTTTTACATTGCAATTATATCTGCGTTTATCAGACGAAATATATTTAGTTTACTCGAGCTTTCTGTTGGATTTTTTTTCTATTCAGTTAATAGATAAGAATGAATAAACTTTGCCATAATTGGTGAAATTTACCCTAATTTTGGAACTGAATAATAATAATAAGCATTATCTGGTCCAATTATTTTGCTGTCAGTTCGGAATTTTGAAAAATATTAAATACAGTTAAAATCAACAAACAAATTAAATAAAGTTTCTACAGGGTGGAAAATCAAACAATGCTATTTTTTTTTTAAGTTTGGCATGCTCCCGGTTGAACAAAGAAAAAACGATTTTTTGGACTTTGCCACCAAGGGCATAAAGATAGAGAGCGGTTTGAGATGGTTTCTGAATTTTTCGTGAATATGTTTTATTTAGAGACTGATCTAAAAAAATCAACTTTCTGGTCTTGCAGTGGTGCTATTTTTCCTTTAAGCCCGATTTTTAAAAGCTAGAGTTCATGTCGAAAATTTAATAAGCGACTTAAAATACAAAACGAAAAAATTCCATATACACGGTTGCATGAAAACACGAATTGTTTGAAAATAAACTTCACTTTAATTGAAAATCTATCAGAATCCCAGATTTCGAGAACAATTGGAGGACTTGGGTCAGTTTTAATGCAACCCTGTGTATTGAATTCTTGTCTCAATTCGACTATAAAGTTTTAGCTTCAGCCTAGCGACTTCAACTGATATATTTTTAAATTCTGTCCAAAACGAAAAAAGTTATCAGTGCAAAAGCAAAAAGTAGATTTTTTGGGATCACCCTGTAACTAAATGAGCAGGGGAGAAATGGAAAAACCGTTTAGATATATGAAGTCCATCTCTAAGCCTCTGCAGTTGAAGTCCAAAAAACTGTTATTTGTTCAACTGAGGAAAAGCCAAACTTTCGGAAATTAAATTTTGTGTAATTTTCCATCGTGTTGGAACTTTATTTGAAGTACATACTTATTTTTTTTCAAAGCAAGTGCCGACAAAAAAGTGACTATGTAAGGCTTCAAACAAAAATGAAATGTATCCAGTTCCAAACAGGGCAAATTTAGTCATGTAACGTTTAATTTGTTGAGCACTTTAATTATATAGTTTTTTTGCTCTGTATGCATTGAGGATTAAAAGGATTGTAAAGTGTTTCTAACAATGTTGTTATTTTTTCTCATGGACAATTCTACACCTAAAGTCGCAGTTGACAACTCAGAATTACAGGGTGTTTCATTCACGGAATCTGAATTATTTTGACCATTGTTTTGTTTCACCCTCTAAGCTCCAAGATTTACAGTTTCCTAGAGATCCACAGTTTTGCAAATGTCCATTTTCTCGAATAAAATCTACCAGATAACCAAAAATTAAACAAAAAAAACGATATTAGTTAGATAAGATTTTGTGCTGCATGTCGGTTTTATATTTCAATTATTTTTTCCGCTACTGTAAAGTTTCCACCGCTTCAGCTTCGAAAATAGTTTTATTTTGCCGTTTTATTTGTGCGTGATGTTTTTGCAATATTATTATCGAGACTTGTCCGATTACTACGCATGAATCACTATGCTCTGGATAAGCTTAGACTTAATCACTTTCCGAATGACTTAAAATTTCGCTTAACTTTAATTACTACTAAGCTAAATGCCATTTTGTTGACTTCATATAACTTTCCTCTGAATTTCTTTGACCATATTTGAAATGCCTGCTGCCATAAACCGTTTCGAAAAAATCCACTTTTATTAATATACAAACTTGCGATTTTAGTGCTTGCTCTCAGATTTTTCTATAATCGATCAAAATTCAAACAACTGAAGCTGCTGCTGATTAAAAATAACTCGGTTTATTTGGCCACATATGATGTTAGTTTCAGTTAGTAAGTAGGAAAAACATCTGGCTGCTCGAGTCAATTGAAATATTTATAAAAAATCGAGTAATATCCCAATATAGATGATTTATGTCAATTGAAAAAATACAGCCAGGGTTTTCCAGATTGTGTTTAATATTGCAATTAAGTTAGTTATAACGCCAGATACCAATGAATACTAATACTCACTTACTGCTGCCGGTTCATTTAAAACGTTTTGATTCGTGTTTTTCGCATCTCCTTCCAGCAATTTGAGGCACTTTCTTCTCTGTTTGTTAGTCAATGTAGCTGAATTGCTAATACACTCGTCAATCGTGATCTTTTTCTTCACTTTCTTATCCACAACATGCAAAACAACCGATGCTATCGATTTGGTTTCGCAGATAAACGGGCGACGTTCCATGCAGTCTTCTGCTTTCCATCTATTTTAAACACAATAAACTTTCATTCTTTTTGTGTTTTAAATTTAAGATATAATGAAATGTTTGACATGGTTAACAATTGAAATGCACTAACTAGATAGACGATTTAGTTGGACTAATGCCAGATTTTGTTAGAAGAACTGGATGCTTTGATGAAATATTTACTTTAACGCAAATAAAAGTCCTTGCTTTAATTACATGTGCGAACTAAGTAAGTTATTGGGTTTATTACCCGCAATAGGCATTTATTAAGTGGTTAATAGCTATTTAATGAAAACAAAATGCATATTATTTGATACCTTTTCCTCACGCCATCAATGAGCAAACATGTCCAATTATCTCGTTCGCTCATGTGAATTTCCTTGAACGTTGGGTACTGCATCAATAATCCATCGGTATATATCCATTTCTTCTGTTTCCAGTCTTTGAATCCTCCCACCCAATAGGAATGCAGGGCTTGAACTGAAAAACCACAAAACAATGTTGCTATTAAATAAATAATTTGCCAAAATATTTCTAGTAAAGCTTAACTAAGTTACAGGCAAATAGAATAATTATTGTTATAATATTTCTAGTTATTTTCCATCCAAAGGACTGGCTACTCACAGAACCTACATTTTCAAAATTGCATTTTGAGACGGAATATTTCATATCGACAATGTAGGAAACTATTTTTAATAAAAGTTGGGTCAGATCATCTTCTTTGATTATGTGTATTACGAAACACACTTACTTAGTGTTTAAGTCGAAGTGAAGTCGGTTAAAGATCAGACATTTTCTAAAATTATGATTTATTTCGGATCGCAAAGCGTCATGGTCTCCATTCGTAAATTTATCTCATTCCCTCACTTCCTCACAATGAAAATGGTCTAAACCTTTTGTTTAATTTATGTAATTATAATATGATGGTGACATTTACAAATAAAAATATTGCAGGGTCGGTTTTGGAGGTGTGATAAACGGTTATTTTTCTGTAACCTTCCAACGATCCAGTTCCCAGGTTCCAAAAGGAACATGTTACTTTTCAAATTTTTCATTAAAAATACAAAATGATGATAGTAGAAATAGTGATGACATATAGTGATTTCCTTTATTAAAAACAAAATTCTCAACGTTGATAAACTTAAGATAAAACATTCTAAAATCAAGAACAAAACATAGGTCTGAGGTAACTACTTAAAGAATAAAAAAACTGATAACAATAAAACTAGAGTGATTAAATAAAATATACGGTTTATATGCGACAATGTTTAAAAATCTCATTTTCATTCAGAAATCATATAACATTTAAGAATAATTTTTTTTGCAGGTGCTTTTTACTGATTCTAGTTCTTCGCGCGTTTATGAGAGCACCTAGCTTTAGAAAATAATCTCTCGCATTTCGTTTCATAATAACATTAAATAATCCACAATAACAACAAACAGAAATGCGTGTTTGGCAAATCTGGACGAAGTATTACTCGACTTAATTTTGGTACCAAATAATTTAAATAAAATATGTCGACCTTACAACGTTTACGGCTATTCAAATAACTTTCATTTCATCTCTGACTGAATTTATATTTAAAAATTGCCAACTTGCTTAAATGCAGGTGCAAATTCTGCTTAAACTTTTGTTAGTTTACATTTCAACCGTGATGGAATTTATGTCTTAGACTCTTAGTTTGCTCATAGCTCATATGCAAGTGCATATTCTGCTTAGTTTGCTGGTAATAGACATATAACTCCCGAGCTAAGTTTCTTGAAAGAAATGCCCTTTTTAAGATTTATTACAGAATGTCAGAAAACTAAATACTTTTAGAATAAAATTGCTGAATTATATCATCGCAGCAATTAAACAAATTTTCGCTGGTTCCTGGAGAACTGAACAGTAATTCTTATAAACGAAAAGTGATACGCAATCATCAAGGGAATGCGCAACTGTATACAACATATTTTCCGTTGACAAAGGGTTACTGAAACTGCTGCAACTGCATAGTTTATGAGACGGTTCCAAAAACAACCTTTAAATCGGCAAACGGCTGAAGCCGGTGCGAAGTGCGCACCGCTATTTTGGTTTTATGAGACGTTTAAAAAAAACCGGTTAAATCGGCTAGCTGAAACTACGGTTACAGGTTACACGTTTGGAACACTGTTATTTTAGCGGTTACGTTAAATAACGACTATCCCTAGTCCGCTGGTACATTTATATTGTGCGTCTTAAACCCCCTCTCGATGCCAAATATGTTTATGTATATTCCTTATCAATAAATCTTTTAGTCCTAAGGTCCTAACCTTTGATCCTTCAACTACCAACTAATCCCAACCTACACCCCAATCCGCTAGGCAAGCGTTACTTCCAACCACCTTCCACGGAAATGTCAAATTCAAAAACAAAACTATCCTGGGCGGGAAGAACAAGATGCTCGCAATCCCGCACTGAAACATCAGTCTGCCTCATGAATTCTGGGGGAGGCAAAAGTTCGATAGGAAATGAATGGAAAAAATACACTATACGGAAGTATGTGTGTGTGTATGCGACTAGAAGAAGATCTGGAGGCCCTAAACAGAGCGTGAAAACATCAGATGGGACATCATAGGACTGTGTGAGACAAGACTGCTAGGGGAGACTTCTGCGGTGTTTAAGTCGGGACATCAACTTTTCCAAAGGAACTCCACCAACCACCATCATTTGGGGGGAGTAGCTTCTTCTTTATAGTAAGTATATATAAGACGTAAGTAAATAACGAAACCAGTAAATTCTAAACGACCACCTAAGGGGGCATAGAAGCCGTGCAGATAAAGGTTGACATATACAGTAGCAGTAGCATATCATGCCGAGCTATTGAGGACCGTTCCAAGGGCACCGCCCGTCGTTTTAAAGGAAGGGAAAAAGGGAAGATCATGTACAAAAGCTGACCCAAATTCCGACCATCCAATTCAAGTACGTCGATCTACCGCCCAACCTGTGACTTGATGTTTTTAACAGACGCCATTCAAAGCTTTTTGTCTTTACTACAAGCCTGCAAGAGCCTTGGTGGGTTAGGGGTGTGGGTTTCGGGAGTTTGTGGGACTAAGAGCGAAGAGTAGTAGTATGAAACGAACGAAAGAAAAAAAAGTAAGAGAACGAGACGAGAAAAGTAGTGGTTTGTGGCGTTTGGTTTTAAATTTGGAAGAGTTTGAGAGTTTAGGTGCTTTCCAGGAGATTTGAGATGTCCGGAATCACCTGCTTAAGGCGGGTGATTCCAGGGGGGGTCTGCCATT